TTGTCACCACAAGCAAGAGATGAAGGACCTTTTTTTCTTTCTGTCTTTCAGGAGGGTGAAGCATTTTGCAGGATTCCCTGGATGGCTCCCAGCGTGGATTTCCTGCACTCTGGGGTGAGCAGTCTAAAGAAGCTTGTACCTTGGGCCTTCCAATGCTGAGATGGGTAACAGGTCCCGTGTTTTGCAAGACTGAGAGGTTGATATGCTAGCATTTGGGAAGTCCAACCCAGGTTGATGGACAGGAACCTTAAGATAGGGGTCTGGCTCCAATAGGGGATCAGACTGGGTTACCAGGCATCCAGCAAAAGGAGGACATGTCCCCCTTTTTGGCTTCATGTCCTCTGTCCAGCAGGTATAGCCTTAATATCAAATATTGTCAGGCTTTTTGAGTATCTAAAAAGGTATCTCTTCTAGAGCAGCTTTTCTCTGTGGCACAGCACTTCCCAAATAAATGCTAACCACAAATTGACAAGCTCTGCTCTGTGACTTTAATTAGTTGATTAGTACCCTCCAGCCAGCTGGGGATGCTGCCTAAAATTGACAAGATCTTAATCAGTTACATGCTGAAGGCTTTTGCCTCCTAACCAGCTCTAGAACATTCCTGCGATTGAAAAACCAGCCTTTCTGATGCTGCAAAAAGTAATTTTATATACACGTAGGCCTAAATACATTCTCTCTCTCTCTTCTTTCTCTCTTTCTTTTTCACTGTAATTTTTGTTGCGGATGCTGAGAAAGTTAAGCAGTTAGTGTGTCCTCCTTTTCCCCCATTTGACCCCCTTTCCAATTGTCCATGTCCTCCTTTGCCTGTTGGGATTTCTAATAACCCTAGGACCAATGGATAAACAAAATTCTGGGACCAAGAAAATTGGGAAAAGGTTTTTTTTAAAAGGCTTGTGCACATTTATTGTTATGTTGTTGTATGTTACATCTGTTTCAACCATGTCTAAATAAAGAGATACAGCCACTCCAGGCTATTTGCTTCCAGTAATTTGGAAGGAAAGAGTGGTTCCCTCTTTTATCTTTATCTTTTATTGATTTTATTGTAATTTCTTTGATTGATGTGAGCCATCCAGAGTTGTTGAGAATCAGGTGGCATACAAGTTTTATTATTATGATTATGATTAATAATAATAATCATAATAATAATCCCACTCCCATCTCCCCATTTAGACTCAGGATGAGAGGGAATTCTGGTATTTAAGAAAGGGAACTCATCCTCACCTACTATGGCAAGCTGTCTTGTTCTTTTCTAAATTCCTGGAGTAAAATTACTTGGGGTCAGTCCAACCCAGGTGCCCAGTTATCACAGAATAGGATTTGGAATATGGAGAAATTGACAAATCTAAAAACTCTGCAGAAAAATGCAAAGTAGGCCCAAAGCAATGGTGTGCCTCGAAGGCAGTGTTTCTCAACCTTGGCAACTCTAAGATGTGTGGACTTCCTGAGGAATTCTGGGAGTTGAAGTCTACACATCTTAGAGTTGCCAAAGTTGAGAAGTGCTGCTCTAAGGTATGGGAAATAGAAGCTGCTATACACTGGCAGGAATCCATTATTATTAGCCTCTAGAATCCTAATAAGAAATTAGCTGAGCAAAAGAAGAGCTTGCATAAACAATATCTTAACTGTTTGTCTGATTAAAATTGACCAGCTCAAGGTGCAAAGATGCAAAGAGGATTTTAAGAAGAAGATCCTGAGATTTTATGGCTTATCTGAGAACTATGGTTCAGCCATACCCAGGTCTCTCCAATATAAATCAATCTGGTCTTCTCCATGTAAGCCTCTTTTGTAGAAAAGCTTCAATGGAAAATACAGCATCATCTCCAGTCAGTAGCTCTTGACAGGGAAGGAAAGAATCTTGCTGAAATAGTAAGCCTTGCTACTCAGTCCCAAAAATATCTGAGAAAAAGGGGAAAAAATGGAAATCCAGCTGATGCACTCCAAGTTGATCAGCTTCAAGGTCTCCGCTCTTTCAATTCCTACCAAAGGAGATGGGGTGGAGGAAGCTACTGAAAAAATAAATTACAAAATCAAAATTGGCATTTTCCTACACGTCTTCTAAGGGGCTGCCATTTCTGTGGGAATCTTGGGCACTGGAAATGGGATTGTCCTGAAGACAACATCAAAATCACTTTCAAGTCCCAGGATGAGCAGCCCTAGAAGAGAACAGTTGTAAGTAATTGCATCTTAGCATGTCTCTTTTCTTTTCCCTCTGCTGATTCCTTTGTGCAGTGCAAAGTATCTGGAGAAACTGTGTCCCGCCTTTTAAGCACAGCAGCTTCCTTTTTCATTATCAGATCTATTGATTTCCAGGATATTCCTTTATTTTCCTCTTTAGTACATGCTGTAGGAATTTCTGATCAATCTGTTTCATGCCTGTCTCTATCTGTTTCCATCAGATAAGTGAGCCTCATGCTTTTCTCCCAAGTTCCTCTCCCCAGTTAGCCTTCTGGGAAAAGGTATTGTGCCAGCTGAGAACTGCTATTTCCTTTCCCTTGATAGATTCCCTTGAATCTATGCAACTTACTACAGAGGCTTTATTTCTTCTGATTAGGCCTCTTCACAGGAGGGCAACCAGGAACATCTTAGCCCAAGGAACATAACATCTTAGCAGATGTTTTGTTTTCACTATGGGCAAAGTACTCCAACAGGATAGGTTGCATTGCCTCAGTCCAGCCTGTAAAAATTTCTGTAGATTCCCTCCAAAGCTCTGCCTAAGAAAGCCCAATATCCTTTTAACCATGAAGCAGAGAAAGGTAATAGTTGTACCCACTCAGAGCCTGTATTAGTGCAATATTGATGGGTCTCATTTGCAAGACCCCAAAGACAAACTTACAAGTGGCTATGCTGCCTGCTCCTCTTTTGAAGTCCTGGAATCTGCTTCTCTTCTTTCTTATATGCTCCCCTTATTAAAAACCTTTTAGATGCTCTCCTTCATCCTGTGGCTCTATCTGTCATTGAGCATGTTGCTAATAAAACCTTTTGAAATGCTCTTACCTCTAGCTACATATTGGCAACCTCTTCTGTCAGACATGCAGCCCTTTCTGGAAATCTTATGCACCAGAGCCTGCCTCTGGCCTGAGGGAACCTGATTTCCCTCCAGAGCATCCGCCGAAAGATCCAAAGCAACCCTGCCGTGTCTCAAACCACAGGATTGGCCACATAAAAGTCTAAAAAATGAAGAATGCTGTCCAGCTGAGATGAAAGGGACATTTACAAATGCTGATCATGACCAACACCACTGTGTGCTAAAAAGATAATTCCTCCTTGAACCACACCTCGTACTACAAAGGAACAGACCCCCCAGCAGACAAGTCTCAAGACTGAATCAGGTTGCTTCTGGATGCTGAACCAGGCAGAAGTGAATGACTTATTTTCTTATTGCTTTGATTTTTATTGTATTTTTGAAATTTAATGTATATATTATATATTATTATTGCTTTGACTTTTATTCTATTCCTGGTGGTTGGACTGTGCATAGTTAACTTTAATCAAACCCCAGGACAGAACAAAGACTTTTTAATAAAGTACTGCTCTAACTGCCAAGGCATGGCAACCAAAATTACATAGTAAAAGTCTATTCAGTGCTACCTTAATGCCCTCTAATCAAATATTGGTGCTTAATTTATGATTGTTGCTTGCCTTGCTAGGCAACACATTTACTAGAGCCAAGTTACTGTATGCTGCCAATGGTGTGAAAACCTATTTATTTTTATTCGTACAATTTAGAAGCTGTCTGACTCTACAAGAGTCTGGGCAGTACAACTTTAAAAGCAGGAAATAATGATAAAAGAACATAAGTCATAGACATCCAGAAGAAAACAATCCATAATAGATGAAAGTCCTTGGTACCCACCCTACTCCAAGACCCAGAAGAATAGCTGGGTTTTCAGTAACTTTCTGAACATCATCAGGATGGGAACCATATGGATCTCAGGGATAGGGGGTGCTGTTTCAGGCACCATGATAGAGCAGGCACACTTCCTAGGTCCCAATATATAACTTTGTTTAATCAAAGGGATTTGTAATGTGCCCACCCTGACCAAAGCTTATGCAGATGGGCCAAAACTTATGCAGATAGGCAGTCCATAAGCCATGAAGGTGGTAACCAGCTTCTTGAATTGCACCTGGAAGATAACTAGTAATTAGTGCAGCTCACAGAGCAGTAGCATCCCATTGGCATACCTTGGCATCCCCGTTATTACCCACACTGCCATATTCTGGACCTGCTGTAGCTTCTGAATAGATTTCAAGGACAGCCCCATAAAGAGCTCATTGCAATAATCCATTTGTGAGGTAACTAGGGTGTATGAGTGACTATTTGGAGGGCTTCCTGGTACCGGAATGGGCAAAACTGGCACAAAAGCCCTCTTGTCCACAGTTGCCACCTGTTTGTCAAGCAGGAGCCGTGAGTCCAAGAAGACCCGCAGACTAGACATCAGACCTGAGTGGGGATGTGCTACTCCATCCAAGGCTAGAGATGGAAAGTCTCCAAGCCAGAAGACCCAAATACCCACAGCTAGTTGGTCTTGTTAGGACTGAATCTAAGTTTGTTCCTCCCTATCCAGACCCACACAGCTTCCAGACACTGGGATAGGACATTGACAGCATCACTTGGATAGCCTGGGGTCAAGATGTACAACTGGGTATCATACTGATGATCCAAAACTTTAAATGGATGACCTCACTCAACAGTTTCATGTAGATGTTAAACAGGAGGGGCAAAAGCACTGAACCTTGAAGCACCCCACAAATGAGGGATCATGGACTAAACCTCTCCCACCCACCCCCATCAACATCAACTGGAATTGGTGATAGAAAAAGGAAGAGAATCACCGTAACATGGCACCCCCCATTCCCATTCCTGCAGTTCATCCAGAAAGATACTCTGATCAACAATATCAAAAGCTCCTAAGATAGCACCAGGACTGATGCACCCCTTCCATCTCAACTCCACCAAACAAGGATGGTCAAAAGATGATCACTGCATCTTTATACTATACCATTGTCTGGAACTTGACTGAAATGGGTCCAGATAATCTGTTTCCTCCAGGATCTTCTGGAAACTGTTCCCAATTGCGTTCTCCAACCTTCCCTAAATAGGAAACTTGGTGAATGGATGAAAATTGTCCAAAACTGTTAAGGATTGAGAAACTACCCCCCTCCTCAATGAAGGTGACACCATTTCATGGACTCAATCACATGTCACCTTCCAGTAACAACCTAGGAGGAACATGGATCTAATAAATAGATGGCCAAGCTCACACTGTGAAGGGCCCTGTCCACTTTATCAGGAATCACAGGCTCAAACACATTCCAGATAAGACCACAAGACCATGCCCCAGGCACCTCAACTGGACTTGCCTAGATTCCAATTCCACTGAGAGGATCTGAGTGATTTTGTCTACCAGATATTCTTCACACCAGTTCTGTAGATGTTCCTGTGACTTGTCCCTCCCCACCTGAGTCACCCTGAACACCACCAGGCAGCTATTAGGTCTCTGTTATACAGTACATGCCAGACTGGTCACCTCATCTATGATTATGTTGTAAATGAGGACAGGATTATTACAAACTGACCTAGTATTTAAGAGCAACAGCTGGTTATCACGCACACTGGGGACCTGATAACTTGGTTTATGGGATGAATACTGAGAGCTGAACACTGAGACAGCTCTGAAATAGCATCTGCAGTGCTAACAGGGCTCATTCTTTCTCAGGTCCCTGGGAAGATAATCAGGGGTGGGGGGGATTTTGCCTGGCATATTTTCTCCTGCACATGCCAGCACCTGCAAGAAAGGGTTCACAACCTTAGTGGAACATGATGTTTGTAGTCAGCGTACAAACAAGTGCCTTGCTAGTAAACAGGCTGGCCCTGGACTTAGATGCTAGCAGCCAGAGAGGAGTGTGCACAGTAACTGAGATAAGATGTTGCACCTTTTGTCTCTGACAAGAAATGTATTCTCCCTAAATCAAAGTTCAGGAGACATCCTGGGGATTTATTTAATTGGATAGGGACATGGGAGCACTCCTATAAGCAGACTGTGTGAATGTGAGGCATCTAGGATGATATCCACAAAGTGTTAGATTTACGTTACTGTGTAGGAAATTTTAAAATATAGTAAATGCTTTTTTCCCCCCTTTTCCTAAAAAACCTAGTTTCCCTCATTTTCCCCCTTTCCCCTGAACTTGGCTTGACTTTTTCTTGAGAGCAATGCCCCCCATGTACCTATTAGACCTCTACTACTCAAGGAGGAAGTATCCTAACCTTGCGAAGCTTTGTTTTCTGCTTGAAAATGTACCCGTGACTTGCTCCCTTTATTTTCTGCTTGGCTCACTCCTTTTGTGTCCATCAGTCCAAGAAATTTGGACTCTTTGCTATTTTAAGAAAGAGAAGAGAGAAATTCTGTTATTACTTCCTTGGGAGTAAATAGACTGCCTTCACCTGCAGTTGCACCCTGTGCTTTGAATTTTTTTTTCCCCCTTAAAAAGCTCTTCTGGCTGGTGGGACATCCATCATTCTTCTGCTCCCTAAAAGGCTCTCTGCAAAAAGCATCAGTAGGAACTCTTCCTTTCATTGGCTGGCTGAGTGCATCACTTCAACAATCAAGCTCTTTATAGGACCTCCAAGAAATGCATCCCACAAGCTCTGTGTAGACATGCGCGCTACGTTTTTCTATAGCTACAAGAATTAAGAAATAGGCAAATTAAAGCTTGGATTTCTTTTCTATGCTAGAATATAGAAAAAGTATAATTCATAGTCAAAACTTGTTTACCGTTTTCTGTATTTGATTATATTTCAGAACACTTTCAGAAGTGTTGTGGAATGTTTATTGACTATATTCATTTATCCATTTAATAGTATATATCCAGTCTGATTGCTGACCTTTCCCTTTCCCTTTCCTTATTTATTTATTTTTATTTGTATAGCTGCCCTGTCAGGAGTTTCTCATGGGAAGAAATTCATCCTGTTATCTGTACAACAATATTATGTCTAGCTTATGCAGCTCATGTAAACAAAACAACTTGTGACTGTGTGTTGTGCACGTACCGTATTTTTCCGATTATAAGACGATACTTTTTCCTAAAATCCTTACTCTAAAAATTGAAGGGCGTCTTATTCAAGGAAGTCAACCAAGAATCGCGCGGTTGCAAAACTGCCCATACTTTGTTTCTGCAGACAGGCTTCCTCCTA